TATAATAAATATTATTATTATTATATATTTTTAAAGACAACAGGAAATAAGCTCTTATGATACAAATTGTTACTCCAACGTGAATTCCCTAAAATAAGACAAATACTCCCACACACAACTGTGTATTTCTCATGGTATCATGAAAGATGTCTGCGTTAACTTCCCATTCCTTGGCCTTTTCCCCATGTTCTTTGCAGTGATGGCAAACACATTTTTTTCCCCATGGTGACCTGTCTCACTCTCACTTTATCATGCCCTGTTAGGTGAAACTGGTTCACCCGGCAAGTGAATGGGCCAAGGGTTTGATCATGTGCTGTGCTGGCAAGAGCAATCACCTGTTCCTTACTGATCCCAAGGCAAAACAGCAACACCATCCTTCCTCAATCAGACTCACCTTTTCAAGGGCTACAAGAGGTTTTCTTGTGGCCTGAAGAATATTCACGCTCCTGGTTTCTGCACCCTTCCTCCTCACCCAGGCCACAAACTAAGCAGAAGATTTGGTTCGAAAACTGAGTCAGAGGCAACAGCTATGTTACAGCATTGAACTGGTTCTTCTGAAACAGAGAACCTATACTCACATACTTACTCTAAAACTGAAGTTGGTGTGAAATAGTGATACTCTCCAGGATTCACTACAGATTGTCCTGCTTTTCATTTCTACTTGCTCTATTATTCCCTTACAACCTCTCCCTATTTACCAGTAAGTTTTCTTTAAAAACAATATTTGCAAAAAAAGTCTTTGCAGATCTTTATATGTGTACCTTTTACACGACTCTCAATCCTGAGTGAAATTTCAGCTCTTCACTATTCATGGACTTTGTGAAATCCAGAATTATGTGGTTTTCAGCAAAGCCACTAATCTGACATTAGGAAATGGACAAATCTAATTTTATGAGTCACAGAATGGTGCCTAGTAATGACCAGGCTAAGAACAGTGGTCTCTGCCAATCTAATGATCCATCCCTTTATTCTACTTAGACTAGATGTCTTATTTTTCCCATGTGAAATTGCAAAAACGAACACTGAAGACTGTCCTTTCTGCTGTCCAGACATCCTGTATAAAAAGTAACTGCTGCTAGGCTTTTCAGAGTACAATGCTCTGTATGTGTATGGTGTGTGTGTGTGTGTGTGTGTGTGTGTGTGCGCCTAGATTTCTTTGAATGTTCTCTCTCTTTCTTTTCTTCTGTTCAGGGTTTTGGCCACTTTGACACCAACAACACGATACAATTTATTCTCCTAACAACCCTCTAAATATAATTATTGTTTTTCCTGCATGGCATAGCTTCTTTCAACTGTAATACCCTGTACACACAAGCACACACATAGCCGCATTAGCACACACAGCCACACACGCTACACAGAATGACTTCATATTATGCTGGTTTTGTTATTAATTAAGGCATTTGAAGAGAAGATTTAGAAATGTTTAAGTCAGTGATTATTCACATTTAAAATTTGAGAAATATTGCTACTGAGGCATTTCTAAGCACTGTGAAGTATAAAACAAACATGACCCCTGATGTGCAGGAGAGGGGTAACTGATTAATACTTGTTGAAGGGAAGGGTTTAAGCTCCTTTCTGTACCAGCTGTACTATGCTTCTCCTGTACTCCTCACACTGAGATGGCAAAATGACCAAGGAATTACACCACATGGACCCAGCTAATAGAACCACTTTTCCAAAAGCCCTAGTTGACCAGGATGCAGTGAAATCACTGGGCTAACAACCTCTTAGGTACATTGGACAAATTTTCCCACTAGGCCTTCTGCTTTGGAAGGTTGTACATCTTTCCTAACTGCACCAGGGGCACCGACTCTGTACCACCGGCAGAGCAGATGAATTCCTGGTATTTGATCTGGAAATGCAATGTCTGTAACAGTCACGCACCTTGATGAAACACAGACTCAGGATATCACGTGCCTTGTTGCTACACAGCAACCAACCTCTGCAAATGAATGTCTCAGTGGAGCTGCTAACGCTTCCCTGCTCCCAGGGGATGCTGTAAGTAATGGGCAACCTTTCTGCCACCACCTTCCCCAGCTCGCTCTGCACACAGCTACCGGATCAGCTCCTACACTGCTTAGATCAGAGCTCCTTCCTCCCTGACCTGCTTTCTCTCCCACCCTTGCATGCCCACCCCTACTCCTCAGTCTGTCTCCAGCCCCTCTCTTTCCACCCCTGGCTTTCTGATAGCTGAGCGTTTTTATAATTTATACTGTCCACCTTTAATCCTCTTCCCCTTTCACCACTTGAACTCAGAGGTCTCACAAAATCAGCTCTATCTCTGTGTGCTCCCTCCCTTGCCCTCTCATCCTGCTTCCTCCCTCCCAAAATGTCCATCAGGAGCTCATCACCCTCTGCTCTGCCTGGTGTCCTCTCATCCCCACCAGCTCAAGCTGAAAGTTACAGTTGGCATGTGGTGGCCAGAGAGGAGAGGGAGAGACAAGGAAGCATTCTGGACTCTGCTCCCTCCACTGAAATATCTGCCCACGTCCCTTTCCACCTGGCCTTTGCGACCCAGCACGGCACACAGGGTGCAGGCACTGTGTCTGGCCGGCCCAGGGGTGCTCCCCAGCCTCCAGCATCCACTGGTTTAGGGCAGTGGGAAACTCTTTCTCAGAAGCTTCCGATACAGGAAAGATGTTAGACAGTGACACGGCCACGACACTCTGAAGGCTGGACACAGCAGTCCTCTCAGCACCTCCGCGAACCTTTTCTAAAACAAGCCCAAGCTCCACACTTTCATCATACTTCTGTACTCTGCAGTAACAAGGAATAACAAGATAACTCTTGGCCAAAATGTAGTTGACTCATTCCGTGTGAAGGCAACAGGGATGTTGTTAGATGCCAGGCTTCCCCTGGATTGCTGAAGCCCAGGATTGGGCTTCATCTCTTGTTCTTTCAAAGCCAGGGATTCATTTCACATAATGTATTTTCCAAGGCCAACTTCAGACGCAAAATGTTTGGACTTATTTTCCTTAAACAACACAAACAATTCCCTTCTGTTTACTTATTCCTCCAGATCTCAAGGCTGTCCATGGCTAAATGTTTCAAAGAGCCAAGCTATTTCTGGAAGGAACTTCTAAGTTCAGTTTGCCTAATGCACAGACTTTCTTGAGCTCATCACAGATGACTGACTGCATAGCTCTCCTGCTCCCTCCTAGATGATAAAATGCTTTAGAAGAAGTGATGAGTACATTGAGCACTTTCCTAAGATCATCTGTAAACTAATATGGCCAAACTCTTCAGATTATCTCCAAACTCAGGAAGTTGCCCCTACTGGAACCTTTAGCAAGGCATGCTCTAGACAAGCGTTTTCCTGTTAGTACAGACTTGCACTCACTCAGCATGTACTTGAAGCTAGCAGAACACAGGCTGGCTCAGACCTAAAATAGATGTGCTTGAGCTAACGGCAAAAGCCCTTCTGAGTGCCCAGTATCTTCAGATTGTCTGGTAATTTTCCCTCAGGTTAGAGGAAGTACGTGTAAGTCTGAACAGATGTATCATTTTTTAACATTAGCAAAAGCATAGTCTTCACTGAGATATCCCTACACCACTGGGGGTCAAATATATCAGGGATACGTATTACTGAGTATAGACCCTGGTAGAACTTTCATTTCCAAAAGTTGCTACAGCTGATTGGGGGATGCTGTCCAGTGAGAGAGAAAGTAGTCTTTAAAAATGAGAAGCCTCCTAAAAGATCAGTCCCATACAGGCCTAGAAGCTGTCCATGACACACTGATTCAGTTAAGAACAACCTATACATGTAAGCTATTCTCAGTGCCCCATCATTATGGGACAGAAGTACTATTTTTGTATTTGATGAAAGACTTTCTTTCGAGCATAGGCTTTGCATACAGCTCTAAAACAGAGAAATCACTGATTTTCCTTCTGCATAGAGTCAGTAAGGAGTCTAAAATTCAGCTATTTAATTTTCTTACACTACTTTGAATATGAACAGCCCCATGGAAGAAGTGCTGACTATTGAAACAATTTCTTTATACTCCATTGCACAGACACACAGTCCCAAACCAAACAATAGTCATGCAAATAAACACAAAGACTGATATAAAAAAAGCACAGGCAACTTATCGGGTCAAATCTGCAATGAAAATGACCCCCATGACAAGAAATTCTAGTGCTTCAAAGAAAACGAGAAAATAAATGCCCACAGAGCCCAGAATGGATAGTATGGGTTGCCAAATGGGGTGAAATTCAGAACTTGGATATTTTCTTCACTTGTCATATCTCTTTTGGTAACAAGAGTAATGGTTTCCTAATGATTAAGGGAAGGCACAAATTGGTGGTAATTTTTCTAATGTAGTTTCTAATATTTGTGATAGTGTCTCATTTGGGACATCACTGCCAACAGTATCAAGCAAAAGGCTAACTATAATGGGGTAATATATACCTAAGTGAGGAGGAACACGGCCCCTCATTTTTCAGTTACGCGTTCAATTTCCATCTGGCAATTCTGCAGTTTCTCTAGCGCCTGCCTTTGATGCAGCACCCTTTCACATCATTATGCCGTTTCCCAGCTGCCTGTTAATATGTCATGCAACAAGGAGCTAGAGAAAATCATTATCTGGAAACGGTGAGCTCTGATGTGTATATGGGTCAAATAAAAGCACACTGGAACTTGGGGAGACATACAAACAGTTGCTACACAGAAAATTTGCTTACTGGAGCGTGTTTCAGCACACTCAATATACATATGCCCTCCTTGCTGGTCCAACCACTGTTCCTTAGTTTTTCCATTCACGTTAATTAAGAGCTGTCTGTGCTACTAAGTGCTGTACTTTTTTCTATTAGCATTTTGCTCGGAGAGCTCTAATGATCATACCTTGGCATGTTTCTTCTTTAAGGCATTCAGCTCTTTCTGCTGTTTCTTTAAATGCTTTATGTAGGCCTAGAAAAAGAGGAGTTGGATCAATTTTTCTGTGGATGGATTGACTTGCAACCAGATAAAATCCTGGCTATTGAAAACAAATAATTAGAAATACGTGTTGAAAAGCTTGTGTCCATACTTACCTTCATTTGCTTTAAATCTTCTATCTTCACTTGAGGAATAAGGTCTATACCTAGGAAGGTATTGGAAGAGTTTATCTAAAACTTCATACATACTAGCATATGCCATACTTTTTTATTTTGAACTTTACCAGGGAAACCTACGTTTAAGTTAGATATTAATTAATGTTTTTCATAAAATAAAAAAGAAAATCTCAAATTAATAAAACAGCATTAACCACGATATAGCTAAGATACGGTTAATTTCCTTTTCAAATGCATTGCTCAGTCGTCTTGTGAGAAAAGAAATGAATCAATGAGTATGTTCTCATCTCTTACTGCTCTGCACTTACGTGTCAAACACAGCAAACTAAGAATTGAAAAAGCTCATTTTCTGAAAACAAAGCAGACCATTTACACACTTTAAAATTTAATCACGCAAACTTCAAAATTTTGGTATATAGCTGGAGATTAAGCTGGGACCACTAATCTCAAGGGGAATGTTTCTTAGATAAAGTTCTAAATAACTACATAAAGGGTTAACGAAGGCTAGATACACTTATTCTCCTTAATTTGAAACACAGAAGTTATGGGACTGAAAATTTACCTGCAGCCTGCATGTTAATGGCGGTAAATTGGCATTTTGGTTAATACTAGGGTATGAGAAAAGGAGCAACGGCACAGTTCAAGATTAAAGGAGAATTGAAAATGGAGGAGAAACAAAAAAAAAAGCCATGAGAAGTAGAAATTCTAATAAAAATGAACTACAAGAAAAAAAACCTATTATACAGTACTATTTAGATGAATGCAAATATTTTTTTATCACCTTAACTACAGTGCAAATGAAAAACAGAATCTCATGTCATCTTTATGTTTTAATAAATATTTTGTGATATATTACAGTTTTTTATCACTACTAAGCACATCCTATGTTATCATGAATAAAAATGTCAATACAATGTCATGAGGGATATAACGTATAGGGTTTTTCTGAGTTTTTACACAAAAAATGTTACGTTATTCATAAATACACTGCAAGCGTATTTAGTTAACTGTTGTTAGTAGTTCCTGTGGACTATGAGATCTCTCCTGCCTTGCAAAGGATTGTTTACCTTTAAGATGAATTCAACTGGAAAATATTCAGATACTGTAAAGGGAGAGTAAGGCAATTTCCTTAGGGAACAAAACTTTTTTTATTTTTTTTAGAAGCGTAAGCGTCTGCTCAAGTATATATTACTACCATTAGCCTAGAACATGAAACTGAAACTGATTCAGGCACAGATAAATATAGAGGCTGAAGATTTCAAAAACACAATTTGGAAATCAATCACTCCACTATTATTGAAAGTCAGGTAGAGAATAAAAACAATTCATGTGCATTTGAAAATCTCCCCCAGATATCCTATCTTGCTGGTCACGTAATTTCTAACGACAAGGTGAGTTGCATACTTTAACACTGGTAGAATTACTCAGATCTTAAATGAGCATACAGATCAATATAAACCAAGGACGGTTACATGGGATATAAAGGTGACCACCTCTATTTCAATATGAGAGAATATGGATGAAAACTGGCTGCAGAAAAGAATGTGTAAGTACTGAAATCTTAGTTTAAGAAACAGTGCTGCATCAACTGTGCTGTGCTCTAAACACAAACTTCCTCAGGCTATTATTTTAAAGTGCAGATTCATTTATGTGGTAAACCAGGTTTGACTCCATGCTAACCAAGAAATTAGATGCCGTCCCCAACAAATATCATACCTAATTAATGCCAGGAAGACTAATTTTTGTGCATCTTGGTCACGATGCATGAAATATTAGAACAGCTGACTGCATAAAATAATCCGGGTTTTATGCCAGGGAGAACTTTGAAGCAGTTCAAGTGCCACATACAACCTGTTCTATTGCCAAAAATTACTCAAGAGAAATGGCATTTTGTTTCTCAAGAGGTCTCTTTACATGTGTGTATCCAGCCATGTCAGCTTAAGTTTAAGAACAAAAGCAGTTAGTACTCCTTTTCATTCCTATTAATCCCTTTGGGCCAAGGTGGATTCTAATTCTTGTAGGTCACGGACAGAAATATTTATTGCGCTCATTCAGTTGTACAAATTCATTTTTTCACTGATTCATCATGACCTGTGATGATCTGTGAGAAACAAATAATCCCATTTGACTCTGTGAGATGATTCTGTAGAGTCAGTAGTTAGAAAAAATATTTATTTACTCATAAGCGAACACATTTCATATGGATACCTTCGACAATAAACATGCCATTTCCATAATCACTATTCAGAGTAAAACCACACACTGAAATCCAGTGAATTCTAAATACCTTTAATTACTTAAATCTGCAATTCTGCCAAGGGATTTGTGGAGGAAAAAAAAGGCAGAAGAGTTTTTGTGGAGTATACCAGAAAACAGTCATTCCTATGGGCCTGGCTCCAGTAAGCCTTTAGTAGACCTCTGCTCCCAGAGTCCCACAGGTTGCTACTATTAGCAGTAGTTATACAGCTACACAAAGCAGCAGTTATACAGCTACACAAAGAGGTCACTTAGGAAAATAAAGCCATGTCGGCTTTATGTAGCCATTTTGGTAATACAGGAAGTTTTATCTGCAAGCAGACAAAGACCACGATCAAAAAAAGAGAAGAAAAATAAGTCATATTTTAAGAGGGATAAGAACGAACAGAACCGCAAAACCAGAAATGAAGAATGAGTATTTTTCAGTGACTTTCTTTCACTTAAGAACTGGAAGAGTCGCACATGACTTTCATCTACCTTTCTTAGCATCTGTCCCAGACCCAAAGCCAGCAGTGGTACTTGGTCGAAGTTCAGAGCTACTCTGAGGAGTCACGTTTGCTTTGGCATTATTGGCTTTTCCTTTTCTATCATTCTTTGAAGTGTCATTTGGTACATCAGCTATATCACTCTGGAAGAAACATTCACATTGTAATAAATCAATTGCTGCTTTACCAGTAGTACAAAAATTGGGGGATGGGAAATTTATGAACTTGTCTAGTTCAAACTTAATTAAGAAAATTGCAACATCGTTTCAGACAACACTACCCTCAGTAAAGTATTTGTAACCTATTTTAAATGGCCACCTACTAGAATATGGCTCATCTCTCATTTCTCAAAATTTCTAACGGATGTGTTATCACGACCCGTGAAAAGTCAGTCAGTGAATGGTATTTCAGTACATATGTTGACGTAAGTCGATGCATTTCAGAGCGCACTGAAGAAGCTTAGATCTGAAAATGAGAGATGATGAGGTAACATGCATTGATGGGAGAAGGAACCATTGTTAAAAAAAAACAAACCCAAATTCAGATCAAGGAACCATACTCAGTCTTGCTGACAGAACTTTTCACAACCTACATTTTGCATCCTCCATTATAAAAAAGCATTATACTATGCCTACAAATTATTCTGGCTGTGTATGTCATAAAGTTCTACTTACAGTTTCAATACCCATAGCTCTCATTTGGTCTGCTCTTTTTTCTGTGATGGACAAAAATTTCTTTGGATCCGATAAAGCATCCACAATATCTGTTAAAAAAAAAAATCAACTTTTTAACATCTTCAGATGCATTTGGAAATTTATCTTTTACAAGTGCATTATTCTATAGCTGCCTTATGAGCCATGGCTTGCAATAACAGCCCAACTTTCCCTAGTGAACGTGGCAAGGACGGCTAAAAGCGCTCACTGCCACAGCGCCGCAACACACCCGGAACATTAATTAGGTTATAACGCACCAAAGGGTTGGTATCCATCCAGCTTGTTTATTTACAAAAAACACATTGACTCCATCAGACCCCCCTAACTTATTCCCAGTTGATGACTCTGGAAGTTGAGACCAGAACGGGATCTCCTGAGTCACAAAGCACTAACATCTTCCCGATGGGGCAGAAATAATCATACTTTCTTCAAGAGGGTGCTTAGCGACGTGGGACTACAGTGAATTGCAGAAGATGGTCAGTTACTTCCCTTGGTTCAAAGAAAAAGCTAAACAGCTGTTTCAGATAGGTGGCTAAAGCAATAAGGCAAATGCCCTTTGGACACAGACTTCCCCTGAACTCAGGGACAGCGAAGAGCAGTGGTGCCTCAATATCAGGGGCCACCCATAACTATTCCATAAGCACGAACTACTTACTCATCTTGTTCTTATGCAGTCATGGGCTATTTGGAGCTCTTAATCCAAACTTTTTATACCTTGCATCGTCAGACAAATTAATGTTTGCAGAAGCACGTTTCCTTTACTCTGCCTAAGGAAATAAATAAAACCTCTTTCCTAGAAGCAGTCCCTTTTCTTTGATTTACATGGAATAATACAAACAATACCATCCCAGGTCCTCTTTATTTTACAATGAAATTCAATACTACCATGCACTGTGTCTCATGCTGGACGGATGAGTCTACAGAGTACAGCTTTGCAATCGTTTTGCCTGTCAGCACACCAATTACCTGAACGGCAACCTTTGCTACTGCCATTAAAATCAGAAGCAATGCCACTAAGGTCAGTGCAAAAGTGGTATGAAGTCAGAACAAAGCCTCAGGAATAAGGCTGGAAATTCTATGTGGTTTTTTTCTGCTGGATTGTGATAGGAATCTATAAAACTAAACTTAAATTAATAATCACATTGTGTAAATTTAACCATATGGCTTATACAATGTGTTTTACATATGCAGTGATAAATGTGCAAGTACAGGTTTACAAGAAGACAAACACATGTGAATCTTTACCTGCAAAATGAATAACCTCTTTCCACGCCTAATTTCAAAACCATCTCAAAAGAACTGACAGAAGGAGGCCCTTCCACGACACAAAACGATTTTACAAATTAAACTGATTTAGCACCTACAGTCATAACGCATTCAGAGACTACAGCAGCAATCTGCTTGGATGATCCCTCTGAAACTGTAACTGCTGTATTATGGACAAAAGGGTCACTGGTATCAGGTAATAGGTCCTACTGTCAGAGCAGTAACTTCAGGAAGTTTAAAAGCTGCAGCCTGACTCATCATTCACTACAAAATATGTCACGTAATTAACTCAGGCTTTTGTCAGGACCACTGTGGGGATCACAGCTAGTGATTCACGTACCAGGAGTCTTTGTCTTTACAGAATGCTGTAAAGCCCTATTTTCAGCTACTTACGAGTAAAAGATAAACGTTTTGCATCCTTATATTCTAGATTGTCTCACTAGCAGAATAGGCCATTGTTTCTGCAGTGACAGTTCTGACAGTCACAGTTTTCATAAGCCCATGATCCATGTTATATTTTTCAGCCATTTTCAAAATTAGCTTACTATGATGCTAGACAGAGAAGTTGGCCCACTGACCAGATCTGTAAAAAAACATCCAACGCATTAAAACCTTTGGGTATAAACTTGCTATCCTTCTCACGCAAACTGAGGGGTTAACCTAAACTATTCTGTGAAATGCTTCTCTGAAGTTATTGCACATAAGGCTGATAGGACTCTAACTACCACCCTAAGTAATCGTGCCCACTTACACACAGGCTTATATCACAGAAGTTTCTCTTTGGAGAATGTTACTTCACTTGCATTTATTTGCACCAGTATTGTGTTTCATTCAGAAATGAATAACTGATGCAGACAAACCACAAAAAATTACTATATCATATGAAAAACAAAATTATGCATATTTAAAAGGCTATAATGGATCAATCATTCTAATTATTAGTTGGTGTTAGTTCTTAAAACTTACTCTTAAAAAAAAAAAAAAGGAAAATAAAAGAAAGCAGGCAGCCGAAGGAATCGAGTTGTACCTTCCTAAAGATTTGTTAAAATAATCATTGAGATTCTAATGATAGCTCATAAAACAATAAGAGGTGCACTGCAGACGCTAAGTACTTATAAACACATGCCAACAGAATATTAACGATTCCACCTGAGTGTCAAAAGATATCTCCCAGTTGTTCAGCTTTTTTGTTGCTCTGTATTTAAGAGAAAAATACATGAGACACATCAAAACTATCTGGGATTGGGAGAGGAGAATTAATAATTCCTATGGAGCCTGTTTTTCCCAACACTGACAGTAAGCTATTGCAACTAGTTTGCTCACCCTAGCAGTAATTTGCTGTAATGATAAAGTTACTTAGGGGTAGAATTGTTTTTCTCTAGCCTCAAATCTAACAGATAAACCATCTGTAGTGATGTTGGCAATACAGCAGATGGACCAATACCGAACCGCACACCATTTGCAAATTCTGAACTGATATTCAAACTCCCTTTGAAAAACCTCTATTATTTTTGAATTTGTATAATGCGCTTAAAAAAAAAGTCTTCTCCTATTGAACAATGATCAGCACATTTAGTGACTTGAACCACCTAAGCTTAATTTCAACTCTTAGAAAAAGCATCGTATTGTTCAGAAAAATGTCAATCCCACTTCAGAAGCATGTTCCTAATTTAAAAAAACATTTTCAATAAGTCATTTATTGTCAAAAGCCTTAGTTCAGAGACAAATTAAGGTACTTGCTTAACTGTGTCCCTTAGATTCATGTTCCAGCCACTGGCCTGAGAATCTCAAGTTTAAGCAGAAGCTGGTACTTGCCTTGAGCTGAAGTCTCTAATGTTAAATACTCTAGATGAAGCATACTGAATAAAGGCATAGTAGTGCCCCAAAGCCTGTCCAGCAAAGCTGGAGTTTTGCCCCAAAGCAAAACTCCAGCTGACTTTCCAGCAGCCAGGATTTCACCTCTGTGCTCTACAAGCACTTCTGTAAATACTTAACTTGGTACATGAAATTATTGCTAGTGAAGTCAAGGCCTGTTTATCTTTATGTTCTTGAAAACGCATTATCTAATATACCGGATAGGTCTTTTCTTCTCTTTCTCCACTTTGTACTATAGAAATGACACTCAACACAGAAGTGGCAGTAATTCTTTGCATAAACATAAGTTTTGAAATCATTTTTGCAAACAGCAAAACAGTATTTTTATCAATGTTTCACAGATCATCTCTAAGGTAAACTTCATTTTGCTGCAGAGGCAGAGCACTAACATTTAATGCAACTTCTATGTTGTATTTTTAAATGGTTTGTATATTGTCTAATGTACATGACAGAAGTTCATCTAAAGGGAAGAAAACATTTCCCAGAGGTTGCACCGTCAGGTGAACTTACGCTCACACTGACATATGTGGTGTAATGATTATTCTCAGGTATTTGTTCCCATCCACATGTAGCAATTTGCTACTGCTCAGTATAAATGGCCACTGGACTGCCCTGCCAACCTGATCGTGGAAATGGCCCACATTAAAAATGTCTTCCTCCCAAACCCAACAAAAATAATTAGGACTCATTAAAAACATAAAATTGGGAGAAAAAAAATGCAGAAATGTTTAGGGTGCCAAATTCTTAGACTGTCCATTATTAACAACAATATTCCAATAGTCTCAAGAACACAAAAGTGGTTTTGTTTGAAAAAAATGCATGTCTAGATTCTACTTTACTTTTCATACCTACAGACCAGAAAATCTTTAGCTAAAACACAGGTTAACTTATATAACATTTACCTTTAAAAAAAAGGTCAAGAAAAGTGTCTCACTAAAGCACGAGCAAGCACAGAAAACCAAATTGAGGATATTAGCTTATTTTCCGTATTGTTGTGCATGTTGGCTTCAACAGGCATATTTCACTCTCATTAACACAGAGGCACTTGATACTAACGCTGATTTCTTAACTGCATACACACGGTTTCCAAGAACTTAAAGACACCAACTCTCTCCAGTCCTCTGGACTTGTGTCTGTCCTGGCTGGCGTACTGACAGCACAGTACTTCAGTACTTCCACACCAACATTCAAGATTTACAACACACTGAGAGACAGGATTATCTCACCTCCAAAACCATCAGGCACATATGTTTTAAGCACAATGTTGCAGAAAACTGTCGGAAGAGAGAGTGGTTTGTTGCCCTCATTCCGAAGGGAAATGTGTCTGTAACCTGCTTGCAGACCATCCAGAGGCAGGATCCTCTGACCAATCAACTTATTATTGTCATCATACACTGCTATTCTCAGGACAGCAAGATCAGGGAGAATAACCTGGAAAGCCATAAAATGAAGAAATTCAATGACTCTAGTACAGTAGTACCCACCCCACCTCCCATGTTTGAAGCAATCTGCTCATTTCACTCTGTATGCCAGAAACACAGTCTATCAACACTGTCAGATAATGTCATTCCCCTACGCTGAGGCAAACTGTGTACTTTCAGATGATTCTTTCCTAGAAAAGCTTCCTTCACCATAAATAACCGGCTGATTTCAGGATGTGCAATCCTGCAGCTTGCAGCTACACTAGCTAAATATTTTGTATTGTTTTTCATTATTGGACAGTGGTGACATGGATAAGCAGGCAGGTAAACACTACATGGGAAATGGCAGACACAGTGGCAATTAAAGGGTAGATGATGCTGGATCTGGAGGAATAATGACGAGAAGAGGAGATGTGGGATGTACCCAGAAGGACAATGTAGAAGGGAGGCGAATGCAAGCACAAGCCAGTGGGGATGTATGCTGAACTGTGGGTTCTGCGGAGGGGAGAAGCAGACAGAGGAGGACAGGACAGGGTGAAAGCCCCCTTGAAAGGGCATGCTCCTGGCAAGCAGAAGCAGGTGCTTTTTACTCAGGACATGAAGGGTACATGGTACGTATGGTGGTGTGGGGAGCTGTGGCTGCTCAGATCTGTCAGCCCCCATCGTGACCAACCAGAACAAGAGCAAAACGTCCTCTGCCTGCCCGGGAACAAAGGTGCTCACTCTGAACGCTGCCTCTGTGTGGGGAGCAGCGAGGAAGGAGACTGACTAACCGTGAGGAGCAGCCTCTGTGCCCGTCTGCCTCGACTGTACGCCAGCAGAGGTCTTCCCACTCCTTCCCTGTCTGGCTCTTTTCATCAATGGTTATGGGTCAAGAGGAAAGATCAAGATAAATTGCCTCTACTATCTCCCTTAGACTTCCCCCACCCCCTCCACTTTCATTTTTAAGTCCTAAGGGGGCACAGAAGGAAGTACGCTTTTGGCCTCTGAAGCCACCTGAGCTATTCACAGGCGTCCTGCTCTGCCTGCCTCACAGCACAGGATGAGTGATTACAACTAAGCATTCCCGGCACTGACCTCCCGCCTCCCTCTTACATGACAGAGTGACAACACAAAACTTGGGTTAGAATGACTGAAGCTTTATTTTAAAATCAATTAAAAGAAAAACAACAAAACATGACAGAAGAACAATCAAACACATTACCTGTGAGCAACTGTGCAGGATTAAACACCAGCTGGAGGAGAACACTGCAACCCAAATAGGGTAGCTAAGATCTCTCCTCTACAGGCCACAGACCAGCACATCATTCATTACATGATGGGCTCAGCTCAGATACTGCTTTACTAGGGAAAGGAGAGGGACCAGGGAGGCTATGGTTCACTCTCCATTAATTTGTTCTAGGGTATCCTAGAAGGCACTCCTGCCCTCGTGACTTTTTAGCACCCCAGGTCTTCATTTCCTCCAACTAGAGGAACCGTTCCTGCTGTATTTGTTTCACTCATCTGCCTCGTCACCAACAGCTGTCTTGATTAAAACACTCAGCCTGACTTGATTAGGGCCTGGGATGAAGGAAAATAACCTCTTCTCTGACTTACAGTACGAGTTATTCAAGGGAATGTGTGACCATGTAATTGTTCATTCCACGGTAGAGAGGAAAGTCCAAGGACTACTCCAACTACTAGCATCAGTCATTACACCCAAGTCACGATATCCATGTCCTCCTCAGCCAGACTCAAACTGTGTCACCCTGTATTTTACGGGCCTTTTGAATTAAGAAATCAGAAGGCAATAGATGCTGACCAAATTGCCAGCAAGCCATGGGCAACTGCGTCATTGCTTGTCACGTACCTAAGCGTTTTCCCTGTGCCTCCTCATCTGCAGAGAAAAGCACTTAAATTCACATTCATTTCAAAATATATTTGAGTCCAGAAAAGCCTCTTGCATAAATTACACTTCTATTAAAAACTGGTTATACTGTTAAGAAAGCAGATTATGTGTGTCATATACCAAATGTAAAGTGGTAAAACCCCTCAGCAAAGCCTGTCACTTTGGAAAAGAGCAACAATTTTGCATGACAACAAAACAGGTGTAAGCAAAACAGACATTATCAAAGACGGCACTGCTAACACATGTAGTCTGGATGAAACTCCAGCTGACAAAAAATAAAATATAAAATAATATATATATGTATCATATATATAAAGACTGAGAGATAAAAACTCAACACTGGCAATGACAACTGTGATCTCTCTCTTTAAATCCCCCATACCAAGAAAAAAAGGTTTGGTTTTCTTTTGTTATTGAAAAAAAAAAGTACATGATGCACATGGACTACTGGAGGAGGGAGCTGGAAACACGTCTGAGGAACACAGCACCCTTCCAACTTTTCCATGTAATGACATTGACCTTAGCTTTGGATGCAGCATCTCACCTGCCCTCTGGGCTGAAGGAACAGTGCAAGATAGCAGCCACTGCCAGGGCAGGGAAGAAGAAATCTCCAAGGAATGATGGTGTCCGCCAGCGGGGGCTCATTCTGAGCAGACTGCATACCTTGAACACAGGCATGGCCACGGAGGAGGTGGCTACCTCCGAGTGGGAGGAGGAAGCAAAGGGGAGGGAAAAGCCAAACAGAAACAAAAAATCATGTGACAGCTACAGAGGTTATCCATTAGAAAAACAAAACAAAGCAAAATTAAAAAAAAAAAAAAACTCTTGAAAGCTTATTTCAGCTTTAAATTGTTTACTGTAGTAAACAGGAGCCCTACAAACCCTTTTTCATGGGAGCAGTACTTATTCATGTGAGCAGTCAGACTGAAGCAGGGAAGGGTGGCTCAAGTGAGCAAGGATGCTCATGTGCAAAAGGGCTGGCAACCACAGACTGTGCTTTCCAAGTATCCTACCTTTCGAAATACAAATGATTCTTCATTGTAAACAGGGTTCAGACCATTGTTCATCACCATGCGTGTTCGAAATTCTTTACGTATTGTGTCCGTGGGTAAACCATACATATCCACTTCTACATACGTACCGATTTTTTTGTCTGATAAGAACTGACCAGATATTACCTGCAACATAACAACAGAACAGTAAGGAAAAGCGGTACAGAGAATAACAGCAATAAAAAGTATGCAGTGCTTTATGAATACTGGCAATACTGATGATTCTTTATTTAGTGACAGCAGTCTGCAAAATGCTTTCTATAGAACAGATGCATTAATTTAATCAGATGAAAATGGTAAGTGTAGCACTAATATGGTAATTTTTTTCTGAAAAGTTACTGTGTTAAAACCTTAAATACATACTTATCTTTAAAGGGGATTACACAGATTAAAAAATAGTAATGAGCTGACTGCTCTGCACAAGGTAAAAAGAGGTATAATTTTTTTTTAAAAATGCAGCTCTATTATAATATTTGACATTCACGCTACAACAGCTAAACTACACTTCTTTTCTGAAGAAATTCCTCTGTTATACTTCATCCTGAATTTCAGTGTTAATGAAAATAGATAATGAAGACAAGTAACAGCCCAGTGGAAAACTCATACCATCCCTACTACTTTCTAGCAGCTGTTACTCTTTATACAGCTTAGGGGACTCACTACAGCACCACAGTTAAGCGCTGGGCTAGCATGCTTTGCTGAGTTGTGATCCAGCTGAACACACTGCTGTACACACATACACACAAGCTATTGGAACTGCAAAGTCCCTGGCTTTTCACTCATGAAAATACACGCTCAATTCCTGCCTTAACTCACAAGCTAACTTCATATCCCATTTGCCCATAAAGAGAAATATCAGCAGCAATCAAATTTTTGTTCAAGACGAATCTTGGATTAAGAACGTCACCGTATTCAGTATTGGAAGCAGAACATTTTCAAAGATGCAACACAGGTAAGGAGACTTTTCCTTCCAGGTCACAGTCGTTTGTATATTCCTGTGCATGCTGAGTTGGTGGCACCAATTCAATGGGGAGGTGTAAACATGATGTTGCTATCTGCACAGTGGTGCTCACAGATAACTATGTGAGTGAGCACTTTGGGAATCAGAGGCCAAAGATTTGATGGAAGTGGAGTTTAACAGTACAGGCACATAAAGAAGTCACCTTTGGTGGGAATTTGCAATGCCACTCTGCAGAAACTGCCTAAGGACATCTTCTTACAGAGTAATAAGTGTGACACGGACCCGTTGAGATAGGAGCACACCAAAGGTCTGGAAGAGTGGATGTGTTCCAAGTGCACATCCCATGGTATCACACTGCAATTCATTCACACGTCCAGACTCCTAATTCCCTTTCTTACCAGCTTTGCTCCAATTTCTATAAGGACTGTTGTGTGGTGGTAATACAGAGTATGTAGCAGGTAGTTTTCATTTTAGTTGTACTATAAATTCCTATCTTAGACAACTTTCTAAAGAAGTATGCACGTTATAGTCAGTTGACTTTTGGCAATTTGAGACATTTATTTACATATAAAACTATACCAATCAGAAATGACTGTGCTCACTCTGCCACAGTATTAACAGTTGTAAGTCAGTTGGCCCAATCAACCGCGCTCTCACAGGTACATTGACCACATTAAGAACATATGCTGAATGAAATCACCAGCTTGGACAATGCTCTTCAGTAACTCCTTTGAAACTATGCTTTAAGCTTGCTGTTCTGATGCACTGTCATCTACTGTATGTCTTGACTACAAAGAGGTGAATGGAAGCTATTGCTCTGCTTTCACTTAGGTGCAATCTTCAAACTTAAGTCACATATCAGATTTTTTACTTCAAATTTTTACTTCATTTAGATGACCCATTACTTAAAAATGTAGCAAATATTCTTGTTAGTGTGATTAAGGAGGGAAGAAAAAAATGAAACCCTTATGATTTCACAGATCTAAGCTCATTTCGAGCCATTATTTTCTTTTTATGGTCTAACGGCCTTCCCAGAAACACTCTGAAGAACAAATTTGAAAAGTTACGTAGCTGAGGGGTATGTGACTGGGCTTGGGTCCACTCTTACCTTTCTTATAACAGCATGCTAGTACAAGGGGAGTCCTGCTCTCAGTCAGGGCTTCTAGCTATTACTGCAGTACAAATAAAAGTAATTCAGAATCAACAAACTAGGCAGTGCAGATATGTTCTTCTTATAACCCTGATCCATCTCTCTCTCCCTCCCACTGTTTACATCCACTGGGCATGTTTTGTTTTTAATAAGGTTGTATACATCCTCCACTACAGGGACCATACCTTCCCCTGTGATGAAGAGCATTGCATTCTCCAGCAAGGCCTCCAACTCAGAGTAGGCATCAAGCAGTAATCACTGCAAACAAAACCTTTTCTGTTTTTTCTCTGCAATTCTCAAATGCATTGGCTGACATTATTATTCCAGTTTTAGAGGAGCAGAAACAGAAGTATGGAGTTTTACGCTCATTTTAGTTGCAAAAAAAGAGTATGCTGCAAAAGAAGTGAACTAAAAGCCCTCTCTTGTCATTCTTAGTACTATATTCTCATCACCAGATCTCACCAGACCCCGCTTCCTTCTTGGAGGGATTGTACTGCCATCTGACATTAAAAAAACAAAACAACACATTTCTGTTCTTCTGGAGGTGCAAATGAAACTTAGTTAAACGTCCCAAATGCAATGAACATTTGCTTGGGAAGAGTTTGAAATTTCCATGCAGCGTATAGATAGCGACATTTGAAAGGAAAACTCTTTGGTTAAGCTGCATGTAGGATACTTCAGCTAAGAGAGTTGAGAGTTAAGTCACAAAACAGGATATACAGTTGTCAGTATCCTTCCAAACTGTAGGAAGATCTAACCATGCTTCATAACTACACTAGAAGTTTTAAGAGCTTTGCTCCTCATAGATGACTCCAAAGTTAAGACCTCCAGCACATGAACCTTTTTTCTCTGATGCCTAATATGAGGTGAATATTACAGGCTGGGCTGCTCCACACATGAAAAACAGCCGTCTTCCACAAACAACTTTAGCTCTACTCCTGCAACTTTCTTGTCACGATAGGTTCTTCTGAAGCTTTGATTTCTTCCCTCAAGTAGTGTGCACAGAGTCGTCACTCCTCAGATCACAGCGCAGACTTCAAGTTCTACTCGCTTTGAAAGCACCCGATCCAAATACGCCCACTACAAACTCCCTCTTGGTCTGTGGTGACAGGTGAAGTTTGTGCAGTTTCTTACTGCCCACAGGAACGAGCTTTACTCATTTTTTATTTGTGAAGGCTGATGTGAACCATAAAGAATATGATGGGGTTTAAAATTCAGTGATAATGCGTAATAACAAACCATTTCTAATTATATCCTGTTCCATTCAGTTCACGTAAACATAGATGTCTTAGCCAGCAATCAAATAAAAACCATGGAAACAGTTTGGTGGAATCCACACAATCCAAACATATTTTCTGCAGATAATATATTTCTGCTCACATTTAAATGTGATTTTGGATGTTCTAAGATAAGAGAGGTTTCTAAATTTCTATTTTACCTGTACAGAACATGTCGCTGCAATTACACCATCTACAGGAGTTTCAGAGAAAGGGTCAAATGTTCGATCCGGTCGCCGCATGAAATCTGGTTTAAGTAGATACCTTATTTTAAGAAAAAGAAGAAGAAAATCATTTTCATATGGAAATTAAAACTGTATTAAATATAAACAAAATGGATGTTCTAGCTATAAACAATGAACTCTCCTAGGGCACTGTGAAATACAGACTACCATTCCAGCTGCAGGCGTGAGGAGGGAAAAATGGAAATATTACCATTGCTAAAATACAGATAAATTTTAATCTTAATTTTGAATTACCAGCAACTGAAGTATTAAATCTACCCTGGGTTTCAAAATGAACATAAATGTAATATAATCAAAAACATTTTAAAATAATGGAGTATACTTTAAAAATACAGTGAGTTACCACCTAATAAAAATAAGATGCTCTCATTTACTCCAACTCTTTAACGCTTTTGAAAAATACAAAGGACCTATTCAATTTCGTTTTAAATGAAGCAGTTCCATAGAGCCAAGATTCATACAATAACTTTCAGCTTGAATCTAATTTTTTCATCTCAGTTATAAAACCTTGGGGAGAATGGCTGATAATGTTAGTACTGTCAGACTGTTAATTATAGTAGCGTGAAAGGTACGACCATAATAACACTTGCAATACATCCCTGAGGACTATACACTGGATCAGCATATCACTGAAGTTGATACGTGCACTGATGAATTAAAAAACAAGGATTCTGCCATCAAAATAAAACAGCAGCTGATCTACAGAAATGCTGCGCTTCATATGAAGTGAATTCTCTCCCAATGATGGAACAAAATGCCTAAGTGGAGTCATCCTGCTAATTCTGCAGCCCCAACAGACATCAGCTGCAAGCAGCTCATATTTTATCCACACTCCACTCTCTCTAGAGAAACACTGGACACAGCGTTATAAAGGCGTAGACAAAATTCAGAAAGAATTAAAAAAGCGATAGAAAAACTCCAGTGGAAAGAATCTCAATCCATTTTCTCCCTTTTTTTACATAACATTTGGTTTCTGTTTAGGAAAGTATATTCCTCAGGAAGTAATACTCATCCTTATCACACTATACATGCATGTTATTTTATAATCTTGTATTAATTTAAAGTACATTATGGGCAGAAGGAAATTATCAGAAATGTTCTCAGCCCGTAATTTAGGCCTGTTGAAATCAACAGTGCTCTCATGCTGTACGAGTAGCTCTATCTGGTTTCATCAGCATGCAACCTGTGTATTAGAGAAAGGAGTAGTACAGACAGAAAGAAATATAATTTTTATTTTCATTGTCCTAAGTGCTATGTCTCTGACTAAACTAGTACCACATCTATTATGTATAGTAGCCAAATATTACCACTATATTACCATGCATTACCACTATATTACTGTAATATCAGAAGACTGATATAAGAACCAAGTAATTTGTTTGATAATGATGCCTGTGTTTTAGAGAATTAGGTAGGAGTAAACATATGGTCTTCCACCAGGCTTGTGGGTCAAAAACTCTGCCACATAAAGCATACTCTGCCACAAAAAAAAGAAGCTTTGTTTTCTTCTGTTTTCATTACTCAGGACTAGTATATAAGTAGTGGTTGGAGACGCCAACCAAAATGAGAGAGATTGCACCTTTGTCAAACAAAACAGCCTCTGTTTGAAGAGTTCATAACTGAAAGAAAGGCCTGGAGGGGCAGAGTACTATCGCCCATTCTGGGGAAGAGAAATTTTCTTAAGCTCCATCCACTTAGATTTCCTTTCTGATTTGCGTTAGTAAAGAAGTTATTTCTTTTTCAGGGTGAATTGCAGATTTTCATGTGTCTGGACTGCTACTTCCTACAATTCATCAAACTTTCTCTGTCTAGCCTATCAAAGTATAAACTCAACATTTGAGAATTAGCTGTGAGCATTGCTTGAGAATCCCTAGTGATGCAGAAGTAAGGAGTGAGAACTTGGAGAGATGAAACACTTCAGCGTTCTCTGTGCAATCTGCTCTCCATCTGAAGTACAAAGATAAGAAAAAAAAAAATGTTCCCCATGAACTAAAACTCAACCTGCCCAAGTAAATTTGACTATTCTGTGAACTGTGCAACTAATCTCCGTACTAAGTTGCATCCTCAAAAAAAGATTCAAAACAGAAGCTGAAGATGGATTTAAGTAACTCTGTGTATATGGAATTCATGATCTTCTCCATAATTTGCACACAAAGCCTCTTCTATCTCATTTTAAAAAACAGGCATAATTAAAAAGCATATTCATTACAATACCTCCTTCTAGGGGATAATTCTCCCTGAATTCTGCTAATTTCTACTCTCCACCAAGCATCTCATTCTTCTTTTGTAACACATAATTAATAGTGACAATATTTTATTAAAGCCGTAGTAAAGGATTCTGATACACAGTGACAACAGTTTAAATCACATCACTCACCCGCATGACCCATTATATTCAAATTTTCCTTGATTCAATTGCATTGCTAAATCTGTCAAGAGAGAAAAAAAATAGCATCTTTCCTTCTGAATAATGCCTATCATGATTTTTCTTAGAAAGAAAATAAAACTGTTTGTCCAGAACAACTAGTTTAAATGGAAATTAAATTTAATGCATATAAAACACACACACTCGCACAGACACACACATTTATATATCTAAGAAAAAAAAAGAAGCAAGAGGCAAACTTCTGTATCCTCACGGTAGTAACAGCTGTACCAACCAAGCTGAAGTCTAAGCTGTGCTTCAAAAACAATCTCTCCCTGAATCCAAACACATCCTGTAGGCAGAGGAGCATCAGACTGTGGTCATACAGGTGCCTAGGACAGGATTCCTCTCCTCTAACTTTTGAGATCTATAGTAGAGATATCTCCATTTAAGCCAGTGATCTAGAATTGCTTTAAAAAATGGAGGGATACAGCTACTTTTAACAGCACAATTAATCGCGTTCTAAGGCTGACATCTAAAACAGACTAGATGAATCACATCCGAGAAGTGTGTATTTCTCTCTAATGACTGTAGACAACTACCTCTGATGAAGATGTCCGTATCCTGATATCTTAAAGAAGGTGAGATGAATCTTGCACCGGGTTTCTAGGGGCCTATTTCCATGAAACACCGCAAGAGACCACAGAGGTCACAACAGCGTTGCTTAATTTCAAAATTTAGAGCTTCTGAGTTTCATTCGATACATTATCATGGCACTTGTCTACAAAGATAGCAAGCACATAATAGCCCCCTTCCCCCCAAAACCCCAAACCCAGCAAACAATCTTTTCCTGCAGGTTTCCAGTGGCATCAGAATACGACATCCTGACTTTAATGATAACACAGGTCTTCTCTTGCCCATGAACTCTGCCTTCGAAAGTGCAAATATCTTTTCTATATGTGCTCTGTTACACTAAACATAAGATTCTGAATACTCTTATAATGGTTATTATTCTTTCTTGGCAGCTTTACAGCAGCCTTAACTTTATTTCCTCAGCTATTCTTAAGCCTGCCAGCAAAGCTGGATCATAGAAGACTACCACAGGAAGGTTGCTCATTTCCACTTACACAGGAAGCAACATTATTGTGCAATACAAAGGGGTTTAGAATGACATGCATTGGGCAGAGGCAGCGTTGGGAGAACACTGAAGCTGGCATTTCTGCTCCAGTGTCCACATCACGTCCAGTGGACCAGTTTACAAGCAGCGTGCTCCAGTACAGCCTTCTCTTGCCTTCTTGGCTAGAAATCAGCGGTGGCAGGGGCGCAGAGCTTTGCAGGAGAGAACTCGGGGTATGCTCTTAGGAATGTCAGTAGTACCAAAGACAACATTGAGGGGAAAGAAAAAGAACGGTACTATCACAGCTAGAAAAAGAAAATGGAATAACTGGTCTGTCACATATATTGTTGAAGACATTCCTAGATTCATTTAAAAAAAAAAAAAGTTACACTCTCACCTTCATTTAACAGGGACAGTAGATCTCCCTTCAGTTTATGCCACAGAGAATCATTTACACTCCCTGACATCGTTACATAAGATGGATTCTTGTATCCCATTCCCTGATGCTAAAGGTGTTACTTTTACACTTGACAATAACTGATCTAGAAATGTTTTGGCACACAGTTTGTACTTTTTACATTTGCACATTCCTTCGTTGTTACTTTGGAGAAATT